GCTAAGTACCGATTACGTTATCGTATTTTCCCCGTATCCCCCAGTGTCAACCTAGCCATCTCCATGACTTTTTACACCATTTTACACTGCATAGCTAAAAAAATTAGCATGTTCAATCCATATATTCCACCCATATATTACTAATTCATATTGAAACTCACTTGAATTATGTTTTAATCTTTGCTATTTAAAAGACAAACATTAAAACAGGAGGGTTTTACTTTCATTTAATATGCCATGGTTGAGAAAGCTTGCAATGGGCATTTTCCTTGAAATTGGGCCAAATATGTGAACGTATCCTTACATATCCACTTTCATGATTAATGAAATATTGTTTCTGTTTACATTAAGCACTGTGACATCTATGAATGCAAATGAAGATAAACTGAAAGTTAAAAATTCAAATTAATGATAATGAAAGTTGATGCATACGCGGAACTAATCCCCTATAATTTGCCGCTATCCCTCCGCGTCGTGACCTGTGAGAAGGCCGCGTCTGTCGCTTGCCGTGATCACAATCAAAGAAGGAAATGTATAAAGTATGCAGGAGGGAGGAGCTTAGGGTCCATGGGTATTTAGAGCCGAAGATAGCCAGACGACAAGTACTTTCAGTGAGGAGCTCCGGGTGTGTACACCAGCAACAGAGAGGGGCAGTCGACGGCATGTGGAAGGTAGGCAAACGTTTTCCTTCTTTGGAAAAGATCAGGTTTCTTCCTCGTTTTTAGAGCATTAATCTTCTATTAGTCTGTTTATATTTGCTTCTGACACATCAACGAAGTTTTGCTAACTCGGTTCGGCCCAGGTGGCGGTTTTTTGCTAGCGTTCCGTTATTTCTACTACAGTGTATTTTACAACTATAGGCCTACCGTATTCAGACATTTTTTGACAAAAATAGTAATATAAAGAGGTAAGTAAGAAAAAGTCTCAAATGCTGCGGAAAAATAAGGCCTAAAGCTAAAATTGGAAACCTGTTCAATTTAAATGTGACTTAAATAAAATTGATAAAGTAGAAGATGAGAAAACCGATTGAAACTATATATCTTATTAACTTAAAATGCATAATATCCGTAATTGTTGTGTCAAACCATTATTTGCATTAAAAAACTATTTCGTGGGTTCAAACATTTGACCACTCAGTCTTAACAGCAGTCGTCCTTATTCCAGCTATTTTGTTCTGCGCTGCTTGCCAGCGTTCTGGTGAGCTCTCAGGGTGCGTCTGTTGCCGAGGAACACAGCGTGCACAAACGCCAAGTGCCGACGCAGTATGGAGCCAATACCTTAGGAGGCTCCTTCAACTTTGGTCCGAATATCGGCGTGGCCACCCCCGACCAGACCCCAGCCAAGGATACGATCGTTGTCAGTGACGTAGGCAAGGCCAGTATTACTCGCACTGACGGGCCTAACTATACCCCATCTGGACCTAACAACTACAACGCCAAGGTCTGGCAGGTAAGAGAATCATGGATGTTTTCTTGCTGAGAACAGTAGACAATTACCAATAAAGATTGTGATCTTTAAAGAATCTTGTTTAGGATAAATGTGTATGGGATTAGAGATAATGAAATACTAGCCACGAGGTTTAAGGCTTGACAGTGTTATAAACATACTTTTGTATCTACCTTCAAAGTTTGGTTTTTATTTCGTTACAGCTAGGCAACCAGGAGGTCACTTACGTCGGAAACGTAGTCATCATTGACTGGAGGGTGTTTAGCGAACGTAAGGCTCCAGCTGCTTCTAGAACACCCGTTTACGGCTCTTCAGGACCTACGTACGGCACCTCAGGACCTACGTACGGCTCCTCAGGACCTACATACGGCTCCTCGGGATCTACGTTCGGCCCCTCGGGAACTACGTTCGGCCCCTCGGGACCTGCGTTCGGCACTGTGCCTCAGTATGGAGATACCAACCTTGGCCAACCAGGCTCAACTAACACAGGCCCAGCTTACGGCCAGGCTACTGGTCAGGATCCAACTTACGGCACAGTAGGACAGGACACAGGATTGCCAGGGTTCAACGCAGGGCTGCAAGATCCAGGATTCAACGCAGGATTACCAGGACAGGGATTCCCATCCGGTTTACCAACTTACAACAACGAAGATCCCTTTTCCGACCCATTCTTTCAAGATGTTCCTGGTTTTTATAATGCTGGGCAAGACGCTGGGCAAGACGGCAGCAACAGTGCAAACCAAGCCCCGCCACAAAACGGAGGAACTTACCAAGGCGCACCTGCTCCAGGTTCTTACCAAAATGGCGTTTTTCTAGGTCCAACACAGAATGGAGGCTACCAAGATCAGGGGGCTTACCAAGGCTTACCCAATCAAGGCGGCTACCAAGATCAGGGGGCTTACCAAGGCTTACCCAATCAAGGCGGTGCTTACCAAGGCGCACCTGCCCAAGGCTCATACCAAAATGGCGTTTTTCTAGGCCCAACACAGAATGGAGGCTACCAAGATCAGGGGGCTTACCAAGGCTTACCCAATCAAGGCGGCGTTTACCAAGGCGCACCTGCTCAGGGCGGCTCAAACCAAGGTGCCGTATATCAAGACCCAACACAGACCGGAGGCTACCAAGACCAAGGTGCTTACCAAGGCCTTCCAAATCAAGGCGGCCTTTACCAAGGCCTACCTTCACAGGGCGCCTCTTTTAACCTCCCCCCTCAAACTGGTGTTTATTCAGGTGCTCCCGCGGGCAATGTCCAGTACGGACCTACGTCTGCTCAGGGACCACTCAACAACCAGTACGGCAACGCCTTGAACCAGTACGGCAAGAAGAAGAGAAGGAGGAGGTCTCTGAGAAAAAAGAGACAGACCTACGCGCCATCTTACGGTACTGGCCCTCTGTACGGCCAGGGAGCAAATTCTGGAGTTGTCACCGGCCTTCCTCTGTACGGCCAAAGCCCCGCATACGGCTCAACCTACGGCTCATACAATGGTAAATATTTTAACCAAACAAAATAATCTGTCACTGGTTTTAATACTAAAACGTGTAGATTTTAGTACTAATAGATTAATAAACAGAAATTATCCGGTTTGAATCATAAAACTGATATTACGAAAGCCATTTATGTCATTTTACTACCAGTTTAATTGTATGTTAATTAGAAAAAAAGACATTTTTCTCTGTAATGTTAAAAACAGAAGCATGACTTTTTTTAAAAAGCATTGTGTTTACTATTGCAGTTCCTACTGGTCCAGCCTTCCCTAACATCTGTGTGAAGAGAGGAACATACCTTGTCTTCAACTGGCCGTATCCAGGTAAGTTACACAGATCTACACACTTACCCCGCCACTTAATCCACTTACGTAATATAACACTGATTCCCTATAACTTGTACGCCAACTACCGTGCATCATATACAGAAGTCATACACTACGTTTGTTAAATTTATAGACATGTACTAACGAAGAAAGATATTAGTGGCTCATACATTTTGGCTGGTGCTAGTTTCTTATAATGTACATACACCTAATATATACAGCATATGCACAGGTGCAAATGTCAGTTTGTATTTATCAAACTTGGAATTAATTGTCATACGGACTCACTGTGTGATGTTGCCCGTGAACGAAAGGGGTCGCGCTAATGTACTATAATGTAATGCATTATACCATTCCAGGCAGACACAACGTGAACAAATTCATCTCATACAGAGCCTACAAATACTGCTCCAAGGACGAGCTGACCGAGGACACGTATGGCTCCCAGACCCAGGAAATCATCGACACCAGTAACCTAGCGCCAGGCTACTACTACTTTGCCAGTGGCGTCGGCGATGACTGCTCCACTGGTGGACAGAAGATAGCCGTCCGCGTGGCCACAGATTACGGTGATGACTGTAAGTAGGCCTCCTTTTATATGGTTTGGGTGGGACTTCGTTGGGTTGATTTTTAGGGTCTGCATGTACATCCTTAAGCCTTCTTACTTGCTTTATTTCAAATGTCCCAAAACACTTTTGGGTAGAAGCTAGAATTTAAAAAATGTTTTAAACATTTATCGTTATTTCTCTACTTTTATGTAGCAGTTACCTAGCCTAATTTTGAAAAGGGTCATAATAACCCATTATCTTAAAGTATTTTTTAACCCTCCGTAGACGTACTTACTAATCACTAGAGGTTGGTTCAGGCACAGTAATCACGTTTGAATATTTCTCTGATTTAGGTAAATACCCAAGCTACGGACAGTATGGCTTGGCCGGTGCAAGCACAGGCAAATAAATCATTGGCAACATACGCGGGGATTGAGACGACTGGGGAATGATCGTACAATACTGTCAACTGCGGGGAAGTCGCCCTCGAGGCACTACCTAAACAGAATAAGTTAACGCAGGACTGGTTTTGCGGTATTTTTTCAGAATTCTTCCTTATATGAGCTTTAAGTATGGAAAACGAAGAGACGACAAAATTTATTGTTGGGATTCACAAGAAGTACCGCGCTTGATTTTTAATAATTAACTTTGTTTTTATCTTTAATTTTTATTATTTTTTTATAATTTAGGCCCTATGTACATAAAGGACCAAAAATAAAGCTTTACTTTCATAATATCATTAAACAGTAGTGTATTATATTATTTTGTAGTTGAATATAGCAGACAGTGTTGTTCAAATTTTTCATCTAATTTATTTGTAAAGCAAAGATGGTCGATATCTTTTTCATTAAAACATTAAAAAAACTAAACCCAGGTTCAGTAGTCGTATGTTTACCTGTCGTTACTGTATGAGCCGGTGAAGAAGGAAGTGTTTTCACAGGGGGGAGGGGGTGGAGACGTTGCTGTAAGCCACTTCAATCTCGGCTCAGGGAGGTTATTTGGGTGATGGAGGCATAAGGAAAAGGGTGTAATTTCCCAGGTTGACCTCTAAGGCTGACCTCTGTTCTCAGTACCCATATTAACTTCCACTATAATCAGAATTTCATAGATAAGGCACAGCTACTTATTACTGGATTAATTATGCATTTATTCAAGGAGACAAGCATTCCGATTTCATCTGACTAACAATGGTAATTATATAAATGGTATATCCCTATAAAACCCCCAATTGGATTCTGGTGGCTATCTTATTTCCTCGTCAGAATAAGTAATGAGAACATTTACATACGGAAACGCTGTGAACAGAATTACACATCAGTTAAAACAATGATCCAGCAAGTAATTGTTACCATTTGATATTACATTAAGATGTTCAACCTGGCAGTACCGCGAAACCAATTTAATGGGACAGTTTCTTATAAATTCATTCTCACTCGACAACAATAGGTATCCAAGCTGACAGATCTTCACTGACAGAACAACATTCTACACAAAATTAAAGAACTCACATTATGAATTTATCAAGTTTCTATCACAATTGCAAGCTTTGAAATCATGTCATTCCCTTCAAAGATGTGATGATTCCCTTTCCAATAAGTCTTCATCAAGTTACATGTTAAAAATCAGTCAGTGGGTTTACAAGCGTAAGGTACACAACCATTGGATCAGCATAAATATATAATTAAAACAGCCTAAAGATGAATCCATCGCGACACAAGCAAATGTCAAAGGCAAGTTTTATATGCTTTTTCCTAATAACACATGTAAAAAGAATGGCCTTGAGAAGAATGTTCGCAAGTGGCAGTACAACTTCAATCTCGAAGCTGAGTAAAATTACACCAACACCAAAACTAATATTTGACAAAGGAAATGCCTACGATATTCAGAATATTTATCCGCGGCAGCAGCAGTAATTCGGCCCACACCCTCCTCCGCAGCCGCCGCCGTATCTGTGCACTTGAGGACCGGTCACCCCTACAGCTTCGTCATGGTTTGATGATAGCCGCGGGCGATCGAGGTACACATGAAGCGTCTCAAAGCATGTCTTACTAAAGAGAAAAGAAGGAATAATAATTCTCGTGCTACATTTACAGATTAAAAATTTGAATAATTAATATTAAAAAAATTAGGCAGTGGAAGTGTTTTCGCAAATCTTCGAAAACTTAACTTAACTTGGCGCACCGAAAATTTTTGCCTTTACTTACGTTTTATTTCAATTTTCACGAGAACCTACCCAAATTCAAACGGCAGCGAGTGTGAGTTATATCGATTTGAAGTAATTCATAAAATGTTAAAAGTAAATCAGCGTTTTACCCTAGGTCTGTGCTAGCGGTAGAACAAGCCGCATAAGCTGAATTACAGTATCTGCGCACGGCGTGTACTGTCCCATCTACAGGCATAATACCGGTACAGGCTGCCTGGGCAATTTCATCCATCCAGTTGTAGTAATCAGATTCTCGGTTACCTGAAGGTACAATCACACAGCACCGCTTTCTTATAATTGCATAATGTATCTATATCTTTTGTAACACTTAAACTAAATATAAACCCATACATTTATAAAAGTTTGTAACAAGCCATGCAATCAATTTTTGAGTCACTGTAAAGTGGCAGTATCAGACATACAGGAGGAATACTAAAAATTGTTTTAAAACCACGACCATAAAATTTATATAGAACAAAAACCTATAATTACCCATCTCGTTGGCTGCGACTGCCATCAGATATACACAGAGAATAATGACCAGGAATCGCGCCGCTTGAGCCATCGTTCGATTTGTGATTCTTACGTAACTTCTCCTGTATGACACTTGAATTAGTGAACTGAAACTTTAATGTTGGTGAATCGTTTTGTCTTGATTTTCGAAGTCGTTCTGTTGTTATCCCTGGGTGCTCTGTCTGCCAGACTGGTCTTGGAAATTAAAACACCAGCCCATCAGCTGTTATCAGTAAAATGGTAACTCAGACCGACAGGGTCTTAAGAATCTGACACACCAAGCTGCGTAGCACGTTTTCAGCAAAATTTCTATTTCTCTTGTCCATCTTTTGTTACGATCATTTAAGAAATGAAAGTGTCAACATTCGGTCAATGGATTCTTAAATTTGAACAAACTACGAACATCGTGTATTGACCTGCTACAGTTTCAATTTTATTATTTCTATTGATCTTTTTTTGTAGCAACTTTAATCGGAAAAATATCCGTTTGCTTTACTCTGCCATTCGACATTTCCAGTTAAATGCTTTCTGCGGTCAATAGCCTTATGCAAAGTAACCGTAAAACCATGACTGACAGAAATCAAATTTTTTTTCTTCCCTTATTTACACTCTCTCATCAATCATTTGTGTTATAGACATTAAGCTGCATCTAGGAAAAGAGAAAATAAATATTGAACTAATTAAATAAACAGTTGTATCTTAACAGTAAGCAGTTTCATAGATGCCATGAAGCAAAGCACGCTTTTAAGACATCGTTGCCTTTAATGTTTTATTATTCTATGGAAACTATATTTTACAACAGCCATTCTGCTGGTGAGAAAAAGGAATGTATCATCGCAAAAAAGTGACAATATTTATTCATTAAAGTTTAAGTATACATGTACAACACTTGTATTCGATGCATTACCCAGTATATCCGAAACACCAAATTCCCTTTCCAATGAGCCTTTTTTTATGTTTTATGTTGAAAAATCAGTCAGTAAGTTTACAAATATAAAGTACACAACCATCGGATCACCCGTGACAGCACAAATATAAGATAAAACAGCTTAAGAGCCCTTCATGAAGAAGTTCGTACCAAAGTCACTGTCAGAAATGGGAAACTCTCAGCTTCGGAAGCGTTTTACTCACTTTAAAAATTCGATCAGCACTGGTTGTGTTCTTTTATTTATTTCCTACAAGTACAACGTTGTGAAATACAAGACAATCTTCTGTATAGAACGATTAAAGGGATAATAACTCTTCGTATGAGATCTACATTTCACAATAAAAACATTGTGAATAACTCATAGAAATATAATATATTCTGTTTTACCACAAAAACGGCAGTTATAGGTATTTTTTCTGATATCTGAGCTTGTATTTAGACCACGTGACCTCCATTGATGGCTATACTCTGTTAAAATCTCTTAAGAGATTTTAACAAAAAAACAAACTTTTTAGAAAAAAACCAGGGACTAACTTTGAATGTAAAAATGGATTCATTAACCATTGGTAAGTATGGGGAAATTGTTGTTTACTCCAGGAAAATTCATTTTTTGGCCGAAACGAAGAGTTATTATCCCTTTAATTTTTGCGCAATTTTAGTCACTGAATATCCATCATGCTGGCAGTAAAAGAAGTATTAAATAAACTATTTTTATCCGTGGTGCCAAAAAAAAAAAATGTCAAAAATTAATTTCAAACTACACAAAAAGCACTGTATACCTTTCAGTCGACAACTGCAACTTCTTATTGGGCCAAGTGCTTGGACAAGAAAAACTTTTTTTCGGACATTTTTCTGGGTAACATACGTTACGTACGTTTTAGCCATGACGCAAAGTACATGTATCCCGAGTTGCAGTTCAAACATTTATCAAAATGTCCTCATGTCACCCATAATTAACCATGACTGAATCAATATAACATATATGTATATTTCCACCTGGCCCTTACATAATGATATAAACCGTGTTAAAATGTAGATGTAAAATTGAGACAACCATGGATTTTTGTAGTATACTGTGTGTTTTAAAAAATAGAATACAGATTTGAATTCATTCAATTTTATTTATTTATTTATTTATTTATTTATTTATTTATTTATTTGAGACGTCGACTTGTAAAACGCACCTCTGTATTGGGCCTGTTTTCGCAAGTGGCAATACAACTTCAATGTCAGAGCTGCGACATCGTCAATAAAATTACATGTACGTCAATATCCATACTTTTGTATTTGAAGGGGGAAATGCCTACAACGCCTTTATACATGACAGCAGCAGTAGTTTGGTCCACAATAATTGCCTCCGCAACTGCCGTATTTATATACTTGTGGTCCTTCCACCCCTACAGCTTCGTCGTGGTTTGATGACAGCCGCGGGCGATCTTTGTACACATGAAGCGCCTCAAAGCATGTCAAACTGAAGAGAAAAGAAGGAGAAACCATTCTATTCCCAAATTACATTTAAATATTACGAATATAGATAGTTTATCTTTAAAAATTAGGCAGTAGTAGTATTTTAGCAAATCTTCGAAAACCAAATTTGGCGCAACTGGAAATTTTTGCTTGGACTTACTAACCTACCCAAATTTAAACAGCAGAGATTGTGAGTTACATCGATTTGAAGTATTTCATAAAAGAGTTGCGATACGGCTTGAACGGTGCACATCCTTCAGAAACCATGCCCAACTAATGATTTCTTTATCAAAATATGCAAAATGGAACTGCGTTTTGTAAATATTGAGCTTTAAAGTGCATATTTTCGCTATGTCTGAAAGTTACTGAGCTACACGGTCACGTGGTCTAATGACGTATTTCGAGAAGCTGCCATCTCTCAGAACACTGTACTAATTCGAGATGGAAGAAATGTCCGTGGATCTAGAAATTTCCCCATATCAGTTTGAGCCCGCGGTACGCTATTCATTACATTCCTCAGAGTATGAAAGTGAAACAAGCAGACAATACCACGACAGCTACGACGAATCTGAAATTGACGGGGGAGATTTCTCTGCGGACAAGGAGTATGCTGAAGATGATCCGCGTCTAGAAAATACTGTGACGACCTGATATGTCCGACAGGCCAGATATGTCCTACGACCAGAGAAGGCCAGATATGTTGTCGGACATATCTGGCCTGTCGGACACATCTGGCTCTTTTTTGTTGGACATTTCTGGCCTGTCGGACACATCTGGCTCTTTTTTGTCGGACATATCTGGCCTTCTCTGGTCGTAGGACATATCTGTTCTGTCGGACATATCGGGTCGTCACAACCATTGAAATTTTTAGACATGATAATGATTCAAGTAGTTACACCTCTCAAAATTACATTTTTTACAAAAATCCAGCATCATGACTTAGACCTGACGTTAAATTTTTGCATGTTTAGTTGAGGTGATTTTAAACGCAATTTCTCTGCTAAACGATTGTTTTTATAGTGTTTTAATGGGTGGTAATCGATTTTAATATATTTCTTGTGTACAGGTTAAGAACTGTTTCACAAAATTCAAAAACTAACATTTACCGTGTCGCAACTCCTTCAGGATATTGTCATCATTCGTCCAAAACTACTTATTTACAGCTTTTCCTACATTTTTGGGGGGTAATAAATAAATCTCCAGTTATCAGAGACTAAATTAAGTAAAATTTACTTATTACATAAGCCATCTTACGGGTGAGGTCATAATTGCAATTTTGGGGAAAAACTGAAAAATTGGTTTCTCAAATTTCTTTTTTACCTGAGCAGCCACAATCACCCTTTCAACGCAAACATTTAGAACTCCAAAACCCTGCCAGCGATTTTTCTTAAAAGTTTTAGTTCAGATTTCATCGTTCGTCAAGCGAAATAATGCCTTTGTTTAATGAAAATCTGCTTAATTACGGGGTCGTAAATCCATAACAAAAGCATTTAACCCTAAACGCTGGCACGCTGGCAGACGATTAAAGTTTAGAGTTGCTTATACATTGCAACGAAAAAATATAAATGCCGATATTTTATATTTTCGAGAGTTTTTCATTGTTTTAAATCAGCACAAAGATAGCTGCATTATTGAATAATTAGAAAAACTCATTTTCTTTATCTGGATGATAATAATGGGTAACAATTATATCCTTAAGGTAATAAGAGATACTGAGCATTATACCTTAGGTCGGAGCATGCGGTGGAACAATCCGGAAATTCACCACACTCCCTGCGCACGGCGTGTACTGTCCCGTCTCCAGACATAATACCGGTACAGGCTGCCTGGGCAATTTCGTCCATCCAGTTGTAGTAATCGGATTCTCGGTTACCTGAAGGTACAATAACAGCTACGTGCACTGCCTTCTCTACCCCCCACTGCGGTGATAAACAAACAATGAACGTCCAAGCTACGCCCTGTAGCCCATCGCCCTTTCGTCTTATTCTTTGGGTCCTTCTCTCCAACCCAACGCCCCCTCCTTCCCCATGTCAAGATAACAGGCCTACCCAACTACCAGACTCGGCACCTAAAGATCCTGAATTAACCGGTATATCGGACCACACTACCCGTTTTCAAGGTGTGTGTCAGATCGCATTTCGGAGTATCAGCCAGAACACCGACAGGATGAGCCCTGACATGCTCGGCTGTCACCTTGATTGGATAGTAAACGATTGTCGTAAAATCGCTATATGATTTTAAAACCGGGTGCATAATTTTGAAAGCCACCTAGATGAACCTTAGACTGCCACATTAATCTAATACAATGCAAAAAAGCCCTATCAAAAGTGGTTAAAACATTCAAACCGAATGTCGTTAAGTCCCCGTATATCCCCATAGAGACAATAAAATAGAGTACTTTAAAGTAAGAGTACAGTTTAAGGTTGTTCAGCCGAGCGTGGATGAGCCCGCAGTCGTGCTACAAAATTTGTTCAGGGGTATGATACTCCGAAATGCGATCTGACACACACCTTGAAAACGGGTAGCGTGGTCCGATATACCGGTTAATTCAGGATCCTTAGGTGCCGAGTCTGGTAGTTGGGTAGGCCTGGATAATATATGATCAAAAATCATCTGAGTGTATTCGTTTTCCCTTTTATGCCCCTCTATGCTGATTGGTATTAATATGTCTTGTTATGATATGCTTATTGTATACAAGTACATACTACTACATACTACTACTCTTCTTATAGATTAGTGGGCCGCAAATATCAAGCCAAACATTTAGTGCTCAATAAACATTACTGTTTATATTCAGTATAACGGAATCAAATGAATGGCAAAAAACTTAAATAAGTGACTCAAAGGAATACATCCATCATCAGCGTGATAACTAGAGGCCCATGTACACACATAGACACAAGATAATGGACACCCTTTTCTCTAAGTTAAAAAACATATAAAGCAAGTTTAAAATATCTGAAAATACATGTAGGGATGATATTTTAACAAATATCGTAAAATAATTAAAGGAATACACAACTTAAAAGAATTTAAAAGTCAAAACTTAAATAATGTCTGTTTAAACAGGAAATCAAACGAGGAGCCAATTTTTACATCTAAATTCCATTAGAAAATAATTTAAACTTAGTTTGTTATTCTAACAGTTGAAGTCAGCCTATGAGAAAGTCTGGCGTGAAAACAACAAAATGAAAATCGACATGCAGGAAGAATGCAAAAATATATTTAACAACACGACTACATGTATAACATTTGAAAAATTCATTTATCATAATATCCAGTTTAAAAACTCGGTCTTCTACCGACTTAATAACCTTAATATATATAGAACAAAAACCAGTAATTACCCATCTCGTTGGCTGTTACTACCATCAGATTCACACACAGAACGACGACCAGGAATCCTGCCACTTTAGCCATTGTTCGATTTTTGATTCTTGCGTAACTTCTTTTGTCTGACACTTGAATTATTGGAGTGATATTGATTGTCACTGACTCGTTTTGACCGTCTGTCTTGATATTTCCAAAGTTGTTCTAATGTTATTCCTAGATGACAATCTGGTCTTTGATATTGCACAGCAGTTGTTATCAGTAGTAAGCGAGACCGACAGGGCCCTAGATCTGAAACAGATGCGAAGTGTGTTGCCTGCAAATTTTGACTTCTGTTGTCGTGCTTTTGTAACGCTAAATTATAAAGTAAAAGTCGATCCTTAAATTTAAACAAACTACGAACGCGTTGTATTGACCTGCTACAGTTTCAATTTTATTATTTGTAATGATTTTTTTTCACTTTTAGCAAATTAATCAGCACAATATCCGTTTGCTTTATCTGCACTTACTCTATCATTTGACATTTACAATAAAACGTTTTCTGCGGTTTAATTGGTGGCGCGCTAACATCAAGGTGTCAATATCCCAAAGCAAAGTAACCGGAGAACCATCATCAATCGAATTGTCATTTTTTTTCTTCCCTTATCATTTTAGCTATGTGCACTGTCTCATCATTTGTTTGTGCTATAAGCATTTTCCTGTGTCTAGGAAAAGAGAAAATAGATATTGAACTAACTAACTAAATACAAAAGTTAAATCTTTACGGTAAAAAAGTTTCATCAATATCAGGAAGCAAATCACGCTTTTAAACATCGTTGCCTTTAATATTGGTTTTTCAATCTGTGAAGATTGTGCTTCACAGCAGCCACTCTGCTTGGAATAAAAAGAAATGTATCACCACAAAAAAGACATCGTTGCCTTTAATATTTTTATTAGTCTATGAAAACTATATTTTACAACAGTCATTCTGCAGGTGAAAGAAAGGAATATATCATCGCAAAAAATATGTATCCGTTAAAGTTAAAAGCACACTGTACATAAATTGGATGCATTACCCGGTATATCCGAAATATCAAATGTAATTTATCACTATATATGCTTCTAAGTATCACTGCGATGAGATTGTGAATGTTGTGATTCATCCAGTTGTGTACAAAAAAAAAAAAAAAAAAAAAAAAGATAAAAAAAACAGACCTCCGCCAAAGCAGCTTAATTATCATTATTAATCAAAATCATCATCATTATCAAAATTAATGGTTCACAACCAAAATTAGACATGTTGTAATTTGTCCAATGCGTGTCTATTCAAAATCCGTCCTTTTTGAGTAAGCTTGTTAACTAACAAACCAATGATGCCAATTACCTTCTAAGAGTAGGTTTCAAAAATTCTAATTCTTGACGTAGTATTACAGCAATAATCCAACGTTGCGCTCAGTCAGTACCACTAATTTTTAACAGAGAAGTGTCACTGCCCATCGGATATAACAATATACGGTCCTGTTACCGATCAAAATAACAGCTCTATCAAAAGAGTGGTATACAGTGCGTAAAGAGAATTCTTAGTACTCTCTGCCCACAGGGTGCGCTAGTAGTCCGTTACAAAATAATTGTTTGGCACTTACATAATTTTTGTACACACCTTGGACATAATAGTCGTTATTATGTCCAAGTACACACGCATACTATTTTAGAAACCCCTGAAACCAGACGGTATATTTTCCCACATTAAATTACACTGGTTTTAACAAAATGACACATCTATAGACACCTGAAAGTTATAGCGTGGGTAATTATACAGTGACACACGCGACATCGTTTAACTAGCACGACAACAGCAGTATGACTGAGCGTTTACGGCATTGGTCAGCTGTCCGCAGTCCACACTTCTGTGTGTTCCCAGTCCAGTTAGGTATGTGTCCTGTTGATAGGTCGCCGACAGCCGGGTTGCGTTTATGTTGACAGATAACCAACCGACACAATGGAATGTGCTGAAATTTGTAAAAGAAAAAAAAGAAATATACATGTACTTCAAATTGATTTTTAAACACTACATTGCATATCCAACTGTTAGAATTTAGGTCACGACGCTCATCTCTTGTCCTCTTGTTAATCCAAGATGTGTTTTAGTCTAGTTATAACAAACGCGCATTAAAAAACCTTGTTTTGAAAGATGTGTCACCAATAAAAATGAGCATACCTGTATCCAGCTAATTCCGCGTCTGCCTGCCCCCAGGTGGTGCACATATTCCCGCAATTTGTTCCGCTGTTAGCTCTTGGAGCAAACGTCAAACCTCCCGCCGAGTTCATTGCAGTGCAAGCCGCGGTCATCATCTCATCGTAATAATTGTAGTAGTCAGATTCCTCGAAACCTGGACACAAAGATTTACAAGCATTTAGACATTTAGCTCTTAGGAACTTAGAACGCATAAACTCTTATCAGCTATATGAAACTATTTGTTAAACTTGCTGTATGCACTTTTAGAAATATGTAGGTTACATGCGAACAATATTTGTGGCTTCCCTTCTAATGGTTCTGTTTTACTGACACACAATTGTCGTTAGGATAGGATTCGAAATAAACCCATAGAAGCAATATTTGGAAACTTGTTAAACAGAAAATAAGAAACAGTTTTTGCATGAAAAAGTGTTAGATAATGTGCGTCAATAATTTAGCACTTAAGTTCACATAGTTCAAATAGTATATCAAATACAATATGAACATTCCCCCTAAATATCTCTAAATAAAAAGGAATTACCATAACCTCTTTAGAGTAGTAGGCCTAGATATCATATTAGTTCGGAAGATCAAATTTGATAGATATAACGACCTAAGGGACGCACAAAATATAATCTCAGCCACTTAAACTCTCTTCACGTCGCCTTCCTACCCATTCCCTCACTCACCTCGCCAGGGGAAATACACCCATTCCGGGTCCTGCAGGAGGGTGCCTTCCAGGTCGGCCCCAGTATGCAGCTTGCACGTTCTGGTCGAAGCACTTTGACTCATAGCGTTGCAGGCGCCCATGTTCCAGCAAGCGATGGCGCACATAGTGCCACTAGAATTGTCTTTGGTTATGGTTTGCAAACCTGTAAACTGCTTATTTCTCAGTCCCTTCCATACCTTTTGCATGTATCTAGTGCTTGAAGTTACACACACGCCATATACCAGTAACAGAGCTAGAATCCCCTTCTGCTGGAAACAGCGCATCTTGCCGGGGAGAAACAAACGTCAGCTATAACTAGACGGCTGTATAATACCTTAGACTACAAAAAAGGATTTTGTTTTTGGTCTCTGTCACATAAGTTTTCAAACTAAAATATCTATTTTAAGAAAAGGGAAAAGGATAAGGCACTGAAATCAATTCGAAGTTAACAAAAAAACAATAGAATCCTCTTTCCGTATATTTATTATCCAACAGACCGGTTTATTAGATCCTTGTACACGTTTACCCTGTCATGGAAGTTATGTGCACGGAAATCTACACATTGATTGTGAGACATGTTGTTTTCTAGATTAGCAATGAGAAAATCAAATAAGGTTTGTAGCAGATATTTGTTGATCAAAATAGTCAGTTGGCACGGAAATTTCAATCGATAAAGTAATCAAACTCAAGGTCTCACAAGTGTGAAGCGTGGGAATTTGATCGGGGGGGGGGTTATTTGTGATTTTCTGTAGAAAACTCAGAGAGTAGTAAAAAGTCAACCTTTTTTCGTAATAGGTATTAGTCTGGCAGAACAATAAAAAGGGGGGTTGATTCACATTCAAAAATATAGAATTAACAAAAGTATGTGCTGCGTCCAAGAAATGTGCGTCTTTACACTGTAAGAATTAGCCCCATTCATAATAGGGGACAAACTAGTCCGAGGGTCAAATATGGCTACCCACTACAAAGCTTGCCGTCTAGTCCGCTAATAGACACTGAATAGATATCACGTGGGGAAGTATTCAAGTGGATTGGCCATATTTCACCCTCGGACTTGTTAGCCCCCTATTCTGAATGGGGCCTTAAGATCTTCTATTCTGAATGGCCCCTATATGGCTCATTTAAGTATTGCTATACATCTCTATTTGTGGTCGTGCCGCCATTGATCACGGTTCAAAATACAGCAAGAGTAGATATCTTCCGTGTACACACTTCATACAGTAAAAGGAATAATTCACCATTTCAACTTTTTTTCCTTATTCTGAACTCTTCGTGTAAAATTAACCACTGTCAATATTTTACTTTATACATCTGTGCATTTTACCCGAAAACTTTTTCCTCGCAAATCATTGTTTAATAATTAGTATAATAAGAAAGTAGCGATTAAAACTTGGTGAGACCATAGAAGTATTTCTATGGTGAGACGCTTAATTTAATATCTTTCCTCTGTCTTTTTTCAACACTTTTTAGTTCACACGGGAATTGGAATATAAGACTACAATAATTTCTAAATTTAAAATGTTCGATTTCCTTTTTATTTAGGCGCACATGTTTGGTAATCGAGACAAATTGTCCACCGGGAATGTTCATTGATTTTTTTACTTAAACATTGTCATTAAACAAAAATTGTCTGTGTTTGCTCTCACAGAGCTGTGCACTGTGACGTTAAGGGCCTGTTGACCATTTTCTTCACGCCACAATGTAAAGAAAACACAGAATTGTAACAAGTCGCTGGTGATGATAATGTTCAAACGATCTACTGTCATTGTAATTATAATCAATAAAGATACTTAAATATTTTTTGCAAAAAAACGTCCTGCATGGAGCGTGAGAATGTAATTTCGGGTGTTTGGATGAAAGGGCGTTAAAATGTGAAGATTTGATCAAGAAAAAAACACTTGGTTGCCATTACCATTCATTGTGTTCGCGTCAACAGCTTGAAGTAACGGAGTGATTACACTGCCACTGATCAAGTTCTTCGCCCTGAAGTAATGCTTGAAACATTTTGTTGAAGATGTTCATTGTCGCCTTCTTCATTGTCACTAATCGACGGTTCATTTACTGTTTGATTTATTTTTTGGTCTTCAATTCATATCACTCACCTATATCTTTATATTAAAACTTTCTGATTGTCACATACCATATGTTGCTGAATGTACGGTTTATTTAATTTTATAATTTGAAATTTTATTTATTCTGTATTTATTCTATCATTAATATATAGTTGTGTGTGCTATTAGCCACGCTCTTCGTCATTTTGCATGATTTTGTGCGCACGTGTTTTTGAATTGCGTTAAAGCTGCATATCTTTTCTGAATTATCGTATAGGGGAGAGCGGGGTTGGTTGCAACACTTTTCACCTTTTTTTGCGATATCTCAGCAGTCAAAGCTTTGGGGACAAAAATAAAAACACTGATAGGAGATAATTATATGCCGCACTCATCTATGAAATAAAACATCAAGTAGGTCTTTTAATTTTAGAGTAATAAATGCTCAAAGTTGCCTCTTAAAACGTTCCATCTCAACCCACCCGCGGGGTAAGTTGGAACAGTCAGTGGGGTGAGTTGGAACAAGAGGGCGAGTTGGAACGCTTGCATATAAATTCAAAGTATAATTCATTTTAAAAGTAGGTTTATCTATATTAATTTCCCAACAAGTACGTGTTACCTTGTATTCGTATCTCCATGGTTTGTAAGCATTTTTTTACGTTTACAATTTGCTTTCAAATAGTCTTTTCGATGTATAAACCATATCCAGTTACACTTCATTTCATAATGATAACAAAAGTGGTGTAGTTTAAGAGAAAAGAAAGTGAATTCACATAACTCAACCTATCAACAACAGCATGTTAGATCTACAAATGAAAACTATCTCTTTCAACTAGCCCTCAGAATTAAATCGCAGTTCTGACATATGTACACTTGGTCACCCTTAATTAGTACAGTCTTCATGTGACCACTTTAAGACAAACAATGCATTTAACCCATTTCTCTTTGGTCGGCTGTTACTGAACAGCTCCCCACAAACCAGACTTGGCCACTTTTCTCATTCTGACTCAGAATCGCTGGTCATCTTTATTTCCTTTTTCTTGATTTTCTCAATCGAGTAGAAATCTTTAACAGTTTTTTTTTAATTTTTGTTGCACTTGTCCTTTTTAATTTTGTTGGGCTTGGCCTTTTCTTTTTTGAGTAGCTCTTTTTCAGGTGTCAGTTAGAACTGCACTGCATCGTTTACTTCTTTTAATCTTTGGACTGCGACGGTGAGCCTTTGGAACCGGTCTATTTATTGCTGGACTTGAGCTGTTTTGGGTTTTTCTTATACCCCCTTTACACTGGACGGCGTCTTTTCTGCATCCTTTCTGCGACCATGAAATTTGGCATCGCTGTGGTCTTAATAAGGAGGCACGAGCATTGATTTTGTATCAGAATGAATGCTCAATGATCGGCCAGTTGTCGGCACGTAAAGTATTATACTTCTTTAACTCTCAAATGGGGCCGTACTGCTGGACGCAGAAAGGACGCCGTCCAGTGTAAAGGCCGGGGCCCTTAAGTGCGCTGTAGTGTGCTGCAGCACCTCTTCCGGTGAGGGCAACTGAGATTTCAACTGAAACTTTGCCTAAGTTACGAGGTGAATGTTTGTCTTTTCTGGTGGATTTAATTTTTGTACCCTCGTTCACTAAACATTAACAGCAACCCCCAATCCATTACACAAAGCATTTAAAACAATATCGGCAGAATTGGTGTTGTATAGTTTATCCATAACGTAGGCTCTCAGCTAGAATATTTTCATTTTGCCGCGAAATGCAGAGTAATAATCGACATTTCCTTCCACTTCTAATAGCAATTTATCAATTTATCACAAAAAGCAACAGTGGACATGCAGACCCCTTTCGACCAAACAGCTAGCAACTGCATTTAACAAACAGTGACCATCCCCCCTTGTATCTTCTACAAGCATGTACATTCCGGCATCTTGGAGATTTTCTACCAGCTGGATTTCGTCTCCAGTTGGAGTTGTACTGGATTACTACGTTACTCTCCTTAAAGTTGGAAATAAAACATTTAGAGAGATATAAGAATTGAAAAACACCGTGCGGGGTGGGTTGGAACACCCCTGACAGTGTTCCAACTGGCCCCATGTCAAATGTTCCGACCAGCCCCTATGACGTCATGGCCTACTTATGACACTGTATTTCTTTAACACGTGGGAGGTGATTAAAAAAAACTACAGCTTTTTGAACATAAAGGTGGTCCTAAACGCTATGCACAATTTCAGTGATATAATCCTTAAACTTTAGTTTACAGCACGATGAATGTCAAAAATATGAAAACTTACTTCGAGTTGCGAAAATAGGTTTTTTTCGCATAAAACTTTTACCGCATATTCGAAACTTCCAAAAGTTTACCGGATGAATGACCATGCCACGTGACATTTTTATGCCGAAGGAGCACATGATCGGTCTTGTGATTTAAGAAATAAAGCCAATGTTCCAACTTACCCGCGTTCCAACCCACCCCGCTCTCCCCTACCTGTACAGCATTTAAAGATGCATACAAAGCCAATTTTTGTCACAAAAGCTGACCAAATGCCAGCAAATAGTTTCATGTAGTATAACTAAGAGAATTACCAAAAGGTATTGTTTAAGTTTACCCGAAAATGATGTTTGAACAGATTTTTCTGCTTGCATTCTATGCTGTATGTCAATGGGGCAGAAAAGTAGGTCACGAAAGTAGGTTAAATTTCCAACCAAAAATTTAAAGAAAGGAGCAGTCTAAAGCTCTTTTATGTCTGATCGAGTGATCTATTCAGTTTATCCCTTGGCATGTTGAATTTATTTGAGTCATATAAGAAACTAGTAGAAGTGGTTTACATGTGTTACTGGGAATCCACGGTCCACCGATGCTCGGTTCGAATGTACCTTTAAAAGAAGTAAATGATCCCAAATCAGCCGTACATGTACGTCTTCACTTATCAAGTCTTCTGCGTCAGTGCGTGTACTATCGTGATGAAAGGCTAGGGGAGACCGGGGCTAGTTGGACCCCGGGGTAAGTTGGCCCCCAATCAAGTCTCTTTAATAAAGGTACTTTAAGATGCCAAATTATTTCATTTGGACTCACTGCCGACGCTTTCTTAGCACTATTGGATACGGTCACTTTACAAAATGATGTGATCAATTCTTTTACCCCAAAGTTACTTTGTCATAAATTGATTGGGGGGGGGGGGGGCAACTTACCCCGGGGTCCAACTAGCCCCGGTCTCCCCTACACTAATATAAAATTTTCAAAATGAAATTATGGTCTGGCTTTTCGGGAAATCCTTTTTATTTTCAAACTCTGTGTATAACATAATTGACAAGTAGTGTATTTTTAAAGACAGAAAATCGATTTCAAAATGAATTACATAATCAAATTTGACAAAAAAGAAGAAAATCAAATTTAATAAAAACATATTGAGAATAACCTTCTTCGAGTAGCCACATGTACAAAAAAAAAAAGAACGTTCATAATATTACTGAAGCAGCCCATCCGTTCATTAGAATACTGAGCTTGTAGACATTAAAAAACGCAATACAACAACCTTCAATAATACCTATGTTGAAAGGCATATCTGTTCATTTTATATGTACACCTTTTAAAACCGCGGGGCAGGTTCAGAGACTACGCAGGAACTTTAATTTTATCCAAAAATTTGTTTTCATCAACTGATGATATCGCACTCTCCGCGACCGTACCCTAGACCCAGAGTTTGTAGATTGTCTTCGTTATTTCTCTTGCCAGCTTGATGGCAATCTTAACCTCTACAGCAGCAGTAATTGGGCCCACACCCGAGCGTGCTGCAGTCGTTGTACCTGTGTATCTTCAGTCCCACTGTCCCTATGTCCTCTCTGGGGTCTGGGGACAGGCGACGACTGCTGTTATAGACGTGCTGCCCACCAAAGCAAGTCTTACTGAAAATATACATTAAACTTTAAAGCAGTGTTCACAAATAATAACGTACACATGTGAATGTCACATTAAAAACGTCGCGCACTTAAGTTGATGCCGGAATCCAGTATAAAATGGAACATGCATCATATATGTATGCTTTGAGAAGGGAGTAAGAAGAATCGTGCTTTATTGAATTTGATGTAAAATGATGTTTTAAATTGACAACTACGACACTGGAAAACATATCATGATAATACAAATAACAAAAACCATACATGAGACAAAAAGGGAAATGAAGAAAGAGAGAGAGAGAGAAAAGAAAAGAAAGGATGAAAAGAAAAGAAAAAGAAGAATTAAGTGCAATAATCCAACCTTCCGTGCATAATGGGGGTTGCTGTCCGTTTTGTTATATCAGATGCGCCAGAGAAGGCTATAAGAGTATACCTACCCGAAAGAGGTACATATGTCAGCACAGCTTGGCTGACTGGAGTCGCACTGCCTTCGAACGGCAAGTATATAACCGGTAGTCGCCATGGATACACACACAGCTTGCGCCATCTCATCACGGTAATTGTAGAAGTCGGTTACTGCACGACCTGAAGGAAAAGAAGAATAAAAGATGGAAAAATACTCCATGAAATTAGGTAAAATGAGATGTAATAATCAAGTGTTTTAACAAGTTTTAAACGGGGATTAGATTTCTAACTTTCACGATATGTGAAAGGCCTATCAAAGTCTGAGATTACTGGCACTCCAATTAAATTTACATTTGCCTATTATGCATATGATAGCTTATTGGTCTCGAGATCTGCTGTTCTTCTTAATAGAAATTTCTAAAATCCAGTACTTTTCATGGCCACCTTCACAACATTTTGACCTATCTTCATATAAGCTATTGTTACCAATGAAATAATCCCATTTTCTGTAAAAGTAGAGATTAAACAAGATGAGCACCTTCTCTGTTACCCAGCGTTCTACAGATCAACAGTACACAGAAAGCCAAGAGAAAGTGCCAGTACGCCATGGCACCCATTGTAGAACTAATTAAAAGCTCCTGAGTGAACGGAGGAGCAGTTTTATAGACTGTGACGCACATGGCACTAGGAAATCGATGCTGTGCTGACGAATACAAACATGTTTCAATATTTGTTATGGTCATGTACCAGTACACTGCAGATTGAACGAAGTCTTCAGTGAAATGAAGAGGGTGTTCACGCAAAAGACTTAAGAATACCATACTAGCCTACCTGAACGAAAAAAATCTTAATCGCTCAAGACCGTTTAAACATTTCGTTAAAATTAAAATAAGTAAAACGAACAATTTCATAAAGTAGCCATAAACTAAGTACCCTGGCCTTTATAGGCGACAAAATAATGTACTTAAAGGAAAATCAACTCTTCATTTTGGTGAGGAAAAGTGCCATAAAACAATTTTCCTGGGGTAAGCGACTATTTTTCCCATATCTTAAAAAATATTTAATAGATCCGTTCCGACATTCAAAGTAAGTCGATTTTTTTTTAATTATTATTAATTATTTATTTATTTATTTATTTATTTTTGTAATGATCTCTTAAGAGCTTGTTACGGAAGGTAGCCAAGAAAATCAACGTGGTCCGATGGCAAGCACAGATTTCGGAATAATTGCAATAACCGCTGTTTTGGTGGTAAAATGGAATTCATCAGGTGTTGTTTACAATGTATTCATTGTCAATTTTGAATCTCATATGAATTAGAATTTAGAGTTGTTGAAACAGAATCTCAGAAAATAAGTAAATAAAATCCAAATGAAAAAGAGGCAGCCATCGGATCACCTGTTTTATTTTAATCTATCAAGGTGACAACCGAGCGTGTTTACAAGTACACCTATATTCGCCTCGCCTCTACTTTTTTTCAGCGGACTGTCTTGCAAGACCTAAGCGCCGTCTACAGGTTAAACATTCCACACCAGTCGGCCATATTTGATGTGATTCGCCATGGCTATGCTTAGGCCGGTTTCGCGTTTAAATTCTGTAGTTTCCAAGGCTGCAAGGCTTTCATCAGCCTCATTACAACAAAGAAGAGAAAAGGGGGATCTAATATTAACGTTTGCTTCACCTGGTGATGTATGTCATTCCGTTTCTTGAAACGCACACAAGAAACCGTTTATATATAGGCCGTTTCATGAAACTCGACTGTCGTGTATTTCTAGTTACTTGTTAATTACTGTAGAACTTAATCACGCAAAAGCACTTTACTTGTTTGTCAGATTAATTACATTTTCGTTGTACACATTTCAGCAAGTCGTTGTACAGTATAAGTGCATCCCATCAATCTCATTGGCTTTTTACATTTTTGGTGAAATTCAAACTGTTAGATATGTTTGTACCTTAAGGTAACATTCCAGTGAGTAGTAACGCAATCTTCCCTTCAATAGGTATATTATGTTCAACAAAGTGTGAAGCAAGTAGATGTCCCTACGTTGGCCGGATCAGTGGGTATTCTACCAGATCACGTTCCATGGATTGGGTGCCTGAAGCCAGGACTACTGAGTGTGTTTGAGGAAAGTGGCACAAAAGTACAATACTTTGGTAAGACGTCTTTGGGAATTATGAGACATAGCTTACCTAGAGAGCACTGCAAGAGTGCAGACCTCCTCGAAGACAAAATGTAGAAATAAAATATGAAAAAATATTCAGTAAAATACAGGAGACCTGGATTCAGTACAAATTATTACTTCTTTTCCTCCTAAAAAACTCCTCATTCAAAAAAAAAATTATCAAAATTTCTGAAAACCTTTCTGAGATTGCTTGCTTATACAAACACAGTAAGCTCCCTTACTAGTAAAGGTAAAAAATAAGATTTCCCTAGTGATATGAGGTTAATTGCACACATATCTTTGAGAAATTGTCTTTGAATACCAGAATCAACAAATTGAATAAGGATTGTGTATTAGGATCTGCAACAAAAGTGAAACCTACAACCAGGTAGCACAGAGCATCTTAACTTATGAATGCTTCCCTTTTAGTATGTTAAAAATTTTAGGTATTATGCTTAACTAAAGGGCTTGTAAAAAAATAGAAAAAATTCATTTTTTTTATTCACAATCATTCTTAAATAATTCACAAGTCTCAGTTGATCTCCATTAAATTCCTTTTTTTTGTCACTTAAGTTAAATTGACGATAATGGTATTTTTATGCTATTGTAAATTTGTCATGTCCAATATGAGTTTACAAACATTTATTGCAATATAGCTGTACAGAATGAATGTACCTTATTTTGTAATGACTTTCAGTAGACTTAGAACTAGTAAGGAAAGAACTCACTTTAATTTCACATATATCAAATTGTTTTTAGCATTTTTTTAACTGTTGTGTTTAACATTGTGAAGTGTATTGAACATATGTAGATTTTAGATTCTATATTATAATAATTAATATTAATGACTATTAAATGCTATTTGTATTAGATTTTGTACTCCAGGATCTTGTCTCTACATTTATATGCTGTATATTTGCTTTCAGTAAGCAGTGGTACAGCTACAGTCAATCCAGACTCCAGCTTACAGATATTGGCAGAAGAAGCAGTGCCTGTAGACAGACTGGATACTTCCGTAAGTTTTAAATCATAAAATTGACACGGCATACCACAGTCATAATATGGCTTGCAAATTTCTGTGAAGTAGCAGAGAGCACATTCATATCTAGCATACCTTGACCAGTTCCAGTACTAGTGCCAAAGATGTGCCGTTTTATCCTCATCCAAAGCATTTGTCAGAATTTACCACCGTCTTTTCATGTTCTCCACATTCATAGTACTGTACGGTATTTGTAGGACACTTTAAGGCATGTGAGGTGAATTTTCTTCCCAGAATACATGATTTACATTTCTACTTAATGAAGTTTACCAAATGACAAGCAGACATTTTTGCTTCAAAGATTGTAAATGAGTTAGTAAAATTGCTTTACATTTCACAACTCTACATTTCACAACCCCTTATAAAAACTTCCTCCATGTGTACCATCCATTTTCCAGTATCAATGCCTTTAAGATGATTCATAATCATCGAAATAGGTTTGATATTATTGTTAATCTGTCCAAGGATGGTGTGGGTATTTATGCATGTGTGATTCCTTGTTTTGTATTGCTATTTCAACGTATTATGTATTTTATTTCATTTCATTACCAGGCAGTGACCAGTGGTCTAGCCAAGGCACAACAGATGGTGACCAGCGCACCCACAGACAAGGAAAAAGCAGAGGCACAGATTGAAGTGGAGTGTTACGAAGCTTTACAAAAAGCTCTCCTTGACAAACATTAATGATTTCTTATGGTTATAGATATTACACTCTCTACTCCAGTGTTATACGTATGAAATGGACAGTGTTCAAGTTAAGTAGAATTGAGAAGTGTGTGTCCAGCACCTGAGTTGTTACACTATATTTCTAAAAGTTTTGCTGTGCAGAGATGATTCAGTGCATTTTAGGGGAAATCAATTTTAAAAAAATGTTGATTTGAATTAAGATGATACTCGCAGCATAGGGGATTTAAAATTTTCCCTTCTGCAAGTCACTGTCATGTTTGAAAGTAATGAGTAATAAATGATAATTGTCTATCACCTTTATTTTTTTGTTTGTTTGTTTGTTTTGAATAAAAAGGTATATTGATGGAATAGTGAATGATGGTCAAAAGCTTAATTTATTTGGCTAAATCCAGATTTGGTTTTACACTTCAACTGGTGTCAAAAAAAATGAATGTCGACACTTCCACGTTCCATAGGGAGGCCTGATTTTTTTTTCAGATTTAAAGTAAAATTTCATGGCCCCTCCAAACCCTGGAAAGGCCACTAAGCCATTTCTTCCTACTTTCTTCTCACAACTTGATTTATTGTCTTTGTAAGACTCTTACTAAGAGTCAAATTTCTGCTTGTGTGAAGTGCAGGAAGAAAACCATCACATATTGAGAAAAATAATGGGATTAAAAGTTTTTTTTAAAATCCCATCAAAATGTGAAAATTAACCATGTGATAAACCATGTGCTGTTCCACTGTTTTCTAACAAAGAAGTCAGCTGTCTTGTTCTGTATCACTGAAATGATTTGCTTTCAAAAGTTTGTCATTCAAATAACACAGCTGCAGTAGGAATCCATCATTAGGACAGATTTCCCTCTTCTTCCTCATAGCTCTAACTGCTTGCTGTACTGTCATGTGTTTCTTCAGCATTAGATAGGCCAAGGTGATGGCAGCTGACCGGCTGACACCTTCTCTGCAGTGGACAACTATTCGACCTGAGGAACAGAAATGGAATTTTTATGCTGTGTTAAATAGAACTTAAAATCATGCCTGAATTCTTTCCAATTTAATCGGAATACTGATTTCATCAAATTGTTCTTCTGGCGTTAAGTGGGGCCCACATCCTTGATCCTAAGATCCCCAAGTCATTTCTAAATACTTTTTTCTGGCAATTCAAAATCATTTCAGGGTATTAGCCACAGTTCTGCTGATGTTCTTTGCGATGAACACCAAAACAACCTGATCAGAGAATAATGCGGTGTTATAATGTTCTCACCTAGCAAAAAACAATATTTCATTCAGTTGACTTTCCCCTAGTACACTGAGGTAGTGTTAAGACAAACAAGGCAGCAAAGCTGTCAGATGTACAGACAAAAAGCAGGAAATAACAAAATAGGCTACTGTCAATTCTGATGCAAAAGTACATTATGTTACGGTAAAGTCTTGAAAATTTCGTCGTTCTTGAAAATTTCGTCGGCAGACGATTTTCCGCCAACGTAATTTTTTTCCCTTTAAAAACTTCGTCGACCTTAAAAATGAGGTACTCGATAATGTTTGAAAAGTTTGGCACCAAATATGGCCGCGTTGTCCAGCTCAAACATGAAGGTAATGCGTCAGTTGATTCAAGACAATGATACGATCAGGATATCATTGCCGATAACACTCTCAATGGGAGATAGGAACAATAGTGCGCCCCTGCGAGCGGTTACTCACAATATAGATGGTTTAGATGTGAATTCCCGTTCTCAATTGCGGGAACGTCGGCCTTTTGTCTTCAGTTGCATTACTATCACCTGGCTTAAGGTGCGTTATCAAGCCGGCAAATAGAAGTCACAGGCCGCGGCTTTGTCATTTGTAACGCCGTTATTGTTATCGGCGGCTGTCCTAAATGAGGAAGACACAATAATAAAAATCAAGATATTATCTCAAAGTGAAATGTACCCATCACTTCTATTCATGTCCATGTTCAATTTAGGACCATTTTCCAATCGTCTCATTAGGACGATTACCTGGCTCGTACATGGAGATCGTTCGCAATGCGAATGGGACGAGATGGCAATTTTCATATATTCAGCGGAGAATCGTTCGCGTAATATCGTCAACAGATCGTTCGCGATCCAAACTAGACGAGAAGATAATTTTCATATTTGTTCGAGAGAGACGAAAAGGCAATCTTCATATCTTCAGCGGGAGATCGTTCGCGATGTAAGCGAGAATAAAATGCACTTATCATATTTGTTCAAGGGAACTTCGTTCGTGGAAGATCGTCAGCAGGAGATCATTATTTTAGACCCCCCTCCCCCTTTGAATTTTATAAATAATATATATTTTTCATTTTATCTTTAACCCCCCTTCCCCCGCTCACGGCATATCTTCAGCGGAGAATCGATCGCGTAATATCGTCAAGACTTTGTTCGTGTAAGATCGTCAGAGGGAGATCGTTTGCGATCCGAGCGAGACGAAAAGGCAATTTTCATATCATCATCGGGAGATCGTTCGCGATGTAAGCAAGAATGAAATGCAATTTTCATATTAGTTCAAGGGATTTAGGGAACTTTGTTCGCGGAAGATCGTCAGC